ACATACATGAATTCTTATCATTCAAAGATGGTTTCTTGCTATTATGTTAAAATAGGCCCAACTCGGTCTCTGCTCACACTGTCTCCATGATTATTATTACTGTTAATGTAAGTTGGCAGCATTCATAAATGACAGAGCCATGGACAGGCCACTCATGACCAGGGTTTATAAGATACCACGTTGGTGCATTTTTTGCTCATGCTGTTCTCATTTAAAGTAGATTCTTTTTCTAGGAAAATAGGATCGTGGGAAAGAGTGGTGCTTCTTAATATCCAAGATTGCAATAAAACATGTCTTTTGCCTGGTGGTGTCCAGTTAATGCCACATATGGTTTGTAATGAGGGAGAATTTGTGATTGTTATTTCAACCACATATGTCACATCCCAATAAGTATGATTGAATTGAAAACTTTAAAAACCCCCTTAACATGGTAAAATTTATCTTTTTCCTGTTACTTATGTTTCTGCTCCCATTGATATAAGATAAAAGGAAAAGTACAGACCCAAAACAGTGGCTTTAAAGATTCAACAGCAAAAATCACAGAAGAAACCAGTGATTGATAATGTAGTGATATGTATTACAACTATTTTCCCCCGGAGCATAAGACAGGTATAGTTTTTAATCTTGAGTAATATAGTCAGCTTTATTTTAATAACACATGCAAAAACTAAACTACAAAGAAAGAAATGGCTAGGTTTTCTTATTTTTTATTTTTGGGAAAAAAACACACCAAAAAGCAGGAAGTATAATATACAAAGCCAATATACAGGCCACCAGAAAAGTAAGTGTTAACATTTTTTCAAATTTGCTCAGGAATTTCTTATTTTTATTTTTTAGGAAAAATGAAGCATTTCAGATAAAGTGTTACTTCCCTTTACTCCACTCTCTTCTTTCAAATAAGCCAGTTCTATGAGGACGTTATCAGGAATCCTTCCAGAGTGCCTTTTCAGAATTTTACAGTATGTATGTAGATAGATAGATAGATAGATAGATAGACAGATGGCTATATGTATATCACAGTATACACTATTATAAGGTAGGCTATTAATAGTGTTATTTTGTACATTTTGGAATGTTAACAAATGGTATTATATGCAACCTGATTTTCTCAGTCAAGGTATATTTTTTGATATTTATATGAACTGGATATTAATATAATACAGATCTAGTGCAGCCATTTTAAGTTCTTTAAACTATTGCACTGAATAAGTAAGCCACTATTTATTCTTGTGATGATACCCATCATTCACTGTAATGAACAGTGCAACAGAGAATGCCCTTGAACTTGCCTCCTCAGGCACACGTATCAGAATTTCTTTGGAGTAATTTTCTAGATGTGAAATTGTTGAGTCATTGTCACCTCAAAATTTTGGTTATGTTCATTCAGGATAAAATCCAGTTTTCATTAAAAAATTTGCTGAATTCAAGCATTTTTTCAGAACAGATCTTTCCCTAATCTACACTAACTCTTTGCCTTCATCTCACTATTTGAATGAATAACATTTCTTACCTTTCATGCATTTGTAGGTCCTAAGGGGATTGTCTACACACTTTGTATATGGCTTCTAATATTTTTCTGCTTATTTAAAATCTTCTGAAAGACAATAAATACAAAATAACTCTTGGTTTTGGCATTAATTTGTCTCCTTAAATCTTTACATTTTTAGACCTATTCAGTATTGAACTTCAAATTTCCCTTTAGTGTCAAACAAATGTAGATGTTAATGCAACCTCCAAGGGCTTCCTGAACTTGAAATTGTTGCTGCTACTCTAGACTGAAACTTATTGGAACTTTTCCCCTTTCACCTGGGAGGCAGAACATCAGCCCCTTTCTGATACAGTCGATGGGTAAGGCACAATGTCCTTGTATGATTTAGTTACATGCAGAATTTTACACTCTCTCTCTCTCTCTCTCTCTCTCTCTCTCTCTCTCTCTCTCTCTCTCTCTCTTTTTTTTAACTGAGCTCTTCAAAGGAAACAAAATTGAGCTGGTGATGGAGAATAATGATAGAGCCCAAATTAGTACCTAGAGCCTTTTTGAGAAGACGTCCTTAATTCCCATTTAGCACTCCTATTTAGATGTTTTCCCAATGTTATTCTCCTTTAACTAGAGGAATGAACAGGAATAGGCATCAGTGCCTTCTGGTCCATTGTTTGTCTTTTAAGAAACACCAAGTTTAAATGTTAACTCTTAACAGATATGACCCGAGATTATCTTGAGCCAAATGCAGAAGCACACATGTTTGGCCTCTCTGGGTAACTGATGGGAGGTGCTGGCCACAGGAGCATGAGGAGCTTCTCACATACTGTGAATAAACTTGGTTATGACTTGACTTTTTATGACATTTATGAAGCTTTTTATTTGGGGGAGAGTTGGGTGATATGGAGGCCATCAGATTTATGTCCCGAAAGATCACTCTGGCTACATTTAGAGAAGAGGTTGGAGGAGGCCTGGGGAAGCTGTAGAGAGACCAGTTAAGACTATTGCAATACTTCTGTGAGCAAGGAAACTAACTGGGGAGGGGGAGAGGCAAGTATGTGAAAAGTTTAAGAGGCAAATCCAACTGGCTTGAGTGATAGCTGGACTCCGAGGGGGGGGGGGGGCTGAGGGCAAGGAAGAGGATCAATCGAGATCAAATGAGTTTCCTCAACTCTGATTGGCTGCACGATTATGGGCTCTAATTAAGTGTGCGGGATCTTCATCACAGCTTCCTGTGAAACAGTTTAATATCAGTATTAGCTGAAGATAGGAAGGCTCAACCTCATGCCATATTCTACATTGTGCGATTTTTAAAAAATGTCTGACCAATAGCTCTCTACTTTTCTCCAAGGCAAGCAGCCATTTCATTGGGCAGACAAAAGTTGTAGGACTCCTGCAATCAACAACATTTAAGGAAATTAATGTTGAAACAAGAGTGTAGGAGGAAACACCTTTTATGCTGTACTTATTTGCAAGACTGACTGGCCAGTGTCTGGTGTTCAGATGAGCTAACATAGAAGGTAGCATCCACTACATGTAAATGTTGATAATTCTCCTTGCTGTCGGTGATGTTGGCTAGAAGTACAGAGGAGAATTGAATTTCTCAAAATGCTTCATAATTATGTTCCCCAGCAGTCCTCTTGGAAGGCTTGTTTGTTCCTGGGGAAAAGACAGGGCAGAGGGCTGGGCCATCAGCATTTTTGGCTCTGTGATGGATAAACAGTGGCATTTAAGGAGCCGATGGCCTTGTTCTGTGTTCATGGGCTGTCAGCAGCAGCAGGCTCAGGGTTGAGACCTTCAATCTTTGAACCAGCTTCTTAAAACAAAAACAAAAACAAAACATAAAATAACTACAGTGCCATCTAACCTCAATACCAAGTCTGTTGTCAGATTGCTCGTGTAGCAGATGTATTCCCCCCCCCCCCCCCCGAAATGATTCCATTCTCTCCCAAACCAGGAATGTGAAGAAGTTATTCATTTGAAATATTATGTAATCTAGGGATTTATTCATTCCCTTTGGCTATAATGATTATCAGCTGCGACCACTTTGGCATCCTATGCCGTCATAACTTCTTAAACAATTGTCTTTATTAGATTGCTCTCTATCTTTTATTTGTGGGATAAATTAGTGGAAAGATTGGGGTGGAAAACTGAGTTCAAGAAAAGCAAAACAAACAAACAAAAAAACAAACACAAAACAAACCCAACCCAAAAAAACAGCTGTTTTAAAATGGTTATTAAAAACAAAAAACAAAAACGGGGGGCGGGGGGGGGGCGGGGGCTGTCATCACTAAGCCCTTTGATTCCCAGAATAGAAATACTGAGCTAAATTAATGTGAATAACCATAATAATTTTAAGACCTAATGTAACCAGTGAGGCTCTCTGTTCTCTATGACTACTTGGAAGAAGTGGAAAAGCTGATTGGCAAGAGTAAGAGACATGATATCTTAGGATGCTCTGGGGATGCTCTGTCAGATCCCACCACTGATTGTATTTAAAAAGGTCCAGTTTCACAATGGTCCTTCTGAGCATTGTGCCACTTGCTTCCTGGATTCCCCTCGGACAGAGAATGACCTAGAATTGCTGTCCATGTGTAACCCCTGACCTCCCGCTCCTATAGAGACCTCATTCTCCCAGGTTCCCACGGCTGACCTGGCTTCTGGAAGCGCCCGCCTCTGCTGTCAGCACTGACTCCACCTGTGTCCGGCTGGCTACTGGTTTTGCATAAGACTTTTTGTCCCATGCGTATTGCCTGCCTTGAAGCAGATTCCATTTCTTTGAATGCGGTGTTGAAAGAAAAATCTCTTTGAGATGATGACCCAAGGCAATTGTTACTTAAACCACCCTCAACTGAGACAGTTGAATCCATAGGAAACAGCATTTTTTCCTTTTCCTTTTCGAGGGTCTCTCTTTTTTGATGACTCCTCTCCAAAATAGTTTCAGGCCCAGACAGTTGCAGTCCTACATCTTCTGCGAGGTGAGAGTCCATTTATTTCATCCACATCAGAATCTATCTGACCAGTGCTGGTACAGCTCCATAGCTCTCCATCTGCCTCCCGTGGGGTGTCACCCAGCCTGCAGGGCAGACAGTTACTGCCTCTGAATGCCTTTGGGCAGTTGTGTGCTGGAGCCCGGGGGCCTTCAGGGTGGATGTTCCAGCCGTGTCCGTGTGGCCGCTCCTCTCAGCTGGCTCTGTTTTCCCGGCAGCTCATTACTTAAGCGTAGCCTGTCAAAATAGGTTAAATGTTCTTTGGGAAACATGGTCCCTCACATCCTTGAGATACCACAACTATGTTTAACACAGGGGAGATTGGCTTGATAAGGAGAGTGTGATTGACTTGCATCACTGAAAAATATGTCCCTGTTATTCTGGTTGAGTTTCCATGAGCGTCAATAAGCGCTAGCAAAGCGGAGGACAATAAATTTCTGCAGCCGACACATAAAGACACCGAGGGAAGCAGGGAAAAATGATTGCTGATGATTCATTCTAACTACTTGACCTTCTGACCTCTTCTCTAGATATATGACCAAGATGGGACACTACAGCACTTTATTGATGGTGGGGAACCTAGTAAGTCGAGCTGGATGAGGTATATCCGATGTGCAAGGCACTGCGGAGAACAGAATCTAACAGTAGTTCAGTACAGGTAAAGTATACCTCGATTTCCCACTTATGGAGCAGAAGCCCTTGGGCTTGCATATATGCATTCAGGCTTTGCTGCTAGCTTTGAAACAATTCTGCAGGGATTTTTGCAGGACCTCTGCAAGGACTGGCAGAAATTTTTATTTTTTGCTAGGTTTCTGAAATCTTAGTTCTTGCAACAGTAATTGCATGAGAACTCAGGAGTAAAGATCCTACCTGTGTTTCCCCGAAAATAAGACATCCTCCGAAAATAAGACCTAGCGCATGGAAAGATAAGACATCCCCTGAAAATAAGACCTAGGGCAACTTTGGGAGAAAAAATTAATATAAGACATGTCTTATTTTCAGGGAAACAGGGTAGTAGCAGGCCTCTTTCACTCAGTATAGTCATTTCCACATCCTTGCCTGAACTTCAAGCCCAGCACACCCACGGACGGACGGAGTCCCTGAGCGGAAGTGTGGGCACGCACACAGAGATGTGCAGATCGAGCCCCAGACCCCTCACTTTCAGTCACCTTCAGGCCTTCTCCCCGGAGGAACAGTTTTATTTGCACCAAGGCCTGGGAAACCATGGTCCCTCAGCCTTCCCAAGGCTGCTTTTCCAAACCCATTGCCCTCAGCAACAGCACCGGAGACAGCGTGACCTCTCCTGATCCCTGGACAGGTGCCAGCCCATTGGACTTTGGTCCTTGGATGATTCAGAGTGTGTCTCAGGAGGTGAGGCGGTTCCAGAGCACAGGGAGGCCCCTGGTTTCCGAACTGTTTGCCCAAAGACAAGGTGGAGCCACCCCCATTTCTCAGAGTCTCACAGGGGAGCCTCTGCGGGGGGCAGGGGGCGGAGGGGGGGGTAGAGGTGTTGCTGAGAAGCAGATGCTGAGCCGCATCTGCTCAGTGCACCTGTTGGCCAAGCTTCCCGTGTAGTGCTAAAGAAGGCTGGCGTGAAGACAAGCAATCACATAGGAAAAAAGCCGTACCACTCCTCAGACTTCTCCTCAAAGTTCCCTTGAAAACATGTGCCATATAAATACATGACCTCAGCTATAAACAGCCATGCTCCCTTTAGAACCAGAAGCAACTGTTTAACTTTATTAGGCACCATTGACACATCAAAGCAGGAGGCCTTGAGCGTGGCAACTTGGAGTCCTGCCTGTGGCTCTTTGTTTTCCTTCCTTTCCTTTCCTTTCCTTGCCTTTTTTTTTTTTTTTTTTTTTAACAAAAAGAGAGAGAAAGGGCTTTATGCCCCATAGAGGTGAAAGGCTGCACAACTCTGGCTCGCTCTCTGAAGGTCTCCAACCCAAAAGGAGCGTGTTTGGGCAGCGTGTGACTTGGCCCTGCCTTGGTTTCCTGTGCAGTTCTTTTTTTTCTTTTTTAAAAAAATTTCTTTATTGATTAAGGTATCACATATTTGTCCTCAACCCCCCAATATAAGGGTCACATGGGACAGCACACGGCAGTAGTCCCGTATCCTGCTGTGTCCAGGTCTTGCCCATCTTTATGGAGGCTGCATTTCTGTATGAAGGTTTTCTGAAACTCGCAGCCAGAGAATTCGTAAAGAGTGCACGAGTCCATTCAGCAGGAGATAGCTTGGCTGGCCCTGTAACGAGCACTCCGGCAGCTCTTGAGGCAAAGTTGGAATCCGTGCGAACGAGAAACCCCGGACAGGAAGGTGGGCATGAGTAAGTCATTACCCCGCTGTCAATAGTAAGTGGATTTTATAGCTCTCCTTTCTTGAGGGCGCTTCAACTCCCAAGTTCTCTCTGCCGTGCCGATCTGTTTTCGATTACTTCAGATCTTTATAAAACGAGCTACAAAAACACAATTAAAAAAAAGAAAGAAAGAAAGAAAGAAACACTGGCATCCATCACCGGTGACCACGTCCAAGAGTAAGAAAATAGAAAAGTTGGACCCCGGAGAGCCAGCCTAATTTTTATTGTACATGAATGTCCTCTTCACAGAGAGTCAGCTGGTTTAGATTCGTTCTGTTATGATTTGTAATATCTAAATGGAATTTTCTTCAAAGCGCCTTGATTGATTGACCCTGAGCTGAACGTTTTGTTTTTATTTTGAGGCTGACAATAATGTTTGTTGGCATATGCTCTGCTTCAACTGTGTGGGGACGCCACGGAGCTATCTTTATGAGTCATCCAACCACAATACTAAATACATGTCAGCAAAGGAAATATTATCTGAAAAGGGAAAAATCCCTTTGATGTGCTTCAGCATGCAGAGATTTCTGCGAGTTTTGGAAGCTCTGCCCGCTTGTAAGGAACGGTGTACGCTTACACTCCCCCCCCCCCTCGGCCGACTCCGTGCCTCCGAGGACCACCCATTGCTCGAAAACAGTTCTGCTCTTTCAGCGGCAAAGTGTGTCATTTGGTTTTAGCACATTCATTTGCCGGGCGCTGTGTTTATATTAAGGGAAGCCAAACCGAGAGATGAAATGTTACAAGGGTGAAGTACAAAGTAGACTCAATTTTTCTCAAGTTAGGAGATGCCAGTGATTTATAGCTCGGCTCCAATTTTGATTTTTTTTTTTTAAATGTAGCAGTGGAAAGAATTAATAAAATGCACAGCGCTCGGGGATGCAGAGGGAGGAAGGGTAGTCGTGAGGGCCGGACAACCGGCTGGAGTTTTTGTCAGATATTCATAGAATGCTGGGGAAAAACATTCTGCTTAGCTAGCAGTGCCCTCGTGAGACAGAATGGCAGCAAGTGAGGAAAATAACAAGATAAATGAAACTTTTGCAGCTGCAAGTAAAATATTGAGAATCTGCACTTTTTTATTGATCTTTATGATCCTATTGCCAAGAGCCACTTTGTGGTGACAAAATATGTTGACAAGTGCATATCTCACTGCTATGAAAAATGTGGCGGAGGACTCGCCTTCTGTCTGCAGTGCTGTATCGGGGACAAATTGCCTGCTGCAGCCCATTCCTTACAGAAAGGCTACATCTAAGGCCCACCAACCCACAGCACTTTTATCTGGAACCGGAGGCCAATATTTGCAGCAATTCTTCATTGAGAAAACCAGTTGTGGTCTCATTTTTTAAAAAAATCTGCAGATTTTTCTTTACAGTACCAGAGCTGCGTAAAATAATGTTTCTTCCTTGGTACCTTCACTCTGTCATTTCAGAGTGTAATCTTTCCACTGGAGTCAAGGGCTCCTCTTGTACTTATTGAATTGCCATCCATTTCACAGAAGAGGGGGTTTCTCTTTCGCTGCATCTAACTTCAGAAGGAAGGCAGTTGGGGGCGGGGGAAGGACACTTTTATTTCTCTCAATCCTTACATCGCAGAGCTGTTTAATTTTATTACAAATCGAGAATTCCCGATGCCAAGTTGCACAAATATGCGTAATGCTTTTCCTTCAAATAAGAAATCAATAGTGTTAATTTATATACAAGGCTGAGGCACCAGTGTCTGCAGTTTGCCAAGAGAGAGAATTTTCTCATCAGTGTGAGATGGAATTCTTTTTTTTTTTTTTTTTTTAAATGAACTCTTCCTTTTTGCTGTCTCCTGGGCCAAATATCAGTCTCCTCAGCCAAGACGCTGTAGGAAGGGTCCCTGTGGAAATAAACTGTGAGCTGTTTATTATACTGGGTTACAAGCTTTCATTGGCTGCTGGGAATAATCAGGTGGGTGCTGGTTTTATTAGGAGCATGAACTGTGTAGGTGGAGATGGGCAGGACTTTTTGGGGGGCAATGAGAATGTGGATGGGGGCACATGAGTGCTACGTGATACTAAGCTGGGTTTTCTTTTGTTTTGAATAGGTCGAATATATTCTACCGAGCCTGTATAGATATCCCCAGGGGCACCGAGCTTCTGGTGTGGTACAATGACAGCTATACGTCTTTCTTTGGGATCCCCTTACAATGCATTGCCCAGGATGAAAACTGTAAGAATTTATTTTAGCTCTAAATTTATGCCTCAAAATCCCTGTTGTAAAGCTAACGTTTTAAGAGTGTTGATTGAAACTCCTCTGAAATGTGTGGTTCACTCTGCTAATATGACACAAACGTGCACGGTCTGTTCCATCACTTCCTTTTCCCCGGGTGCCCTTGGCTTCTTCACAGGGCGTCTTACCTTGTACAGGGCAATCCTTCTGTGCCTGTTCACAGTGTCCAAACGTATGCCAGAGTTTTCTATCATCGCTGGCAGCAGTGTTCAGGCCACTGGGACTTACTGAGCGCCTACTGTGTGTCTGGTTCTGTGCTTGCCACCTGGCGGGGTTACAGAGAGCCTCGAAAGGTACAGCTTCTGCTCCCAAGGGACGTGCAGTCCTGCTGCGTCACTCTCCCTGCAGAAACGGGAGGATGAGAAATCAGGGCCTGCTCTGCAGGAGGAGCCCCCCACCAGTCCATGGGGTGTGCTTCCTCTTAAGAGGCCACTGCAGAGAGAAATGATGCTAAACATTGTAGACTTGTGACTGAGGAACCTGTGTCCCTCTGCACATCTTAGCCTAAGTGAAGCATGTGATGTTCTTCTATCCTTCTTGCCATGGCAGCCATTATCTTCTTAAAAAATAATCTAATATCTAAGCAAATGCAAACTTGCAGCAATCTTCACTTAAACTCTATAGCTGTGTTTTATCATTCTTTGGAAAATATTTTAAGATGATTTTCAGTATTTGAAACAGAATTGGGTAATTCTGATGACCTTCAGTGAGAAACACTGGTTTCAGTGATGCTATTTTCTTTCTTGTCCCAAAACTGACTAATTTGTGAACTGATCCTTTGAGATATGCAGCAGAAAAAAGAAGCCGAGAGAATAAATTTATTTAAGAGACATTATTTTGAAAACAAGTTTGATGTTGCTTTATCCTTCTCTACTTAACTTTCTCTCACCTACACACTCCAAAAAAAAAAAAAAAATGTTCACATTACTAATGAACAAAATGCTGATGATCAGGTATTTCTTTTCCACATTGCCTTTATTTTCTTTGTGAAAAATAGAATCCTCAGAAGACGTATTACTATCAACATTCCTTTTCTACTTGAACCCAAAACCAATCTCAAATCAAAACACGAATCTTTGGACATATAGTACATTCCTCTGTCTTCCCAGATTTCCACTGGAAAGTTTCTTTCCTGCAGCGATACCTCTGTTTGAAGGAGTGTATGTTTGCATAAAAGAAAATCTCAGTGTTGGACAGGAGTGTGTGGTTGGTGTTAGAGGCAGATAGGGACATGGAGGCCAGTAAGCGCTCTCGTCCCAGAATCGCCCCAGCTTCCCTAGCACTAGCGCTAGGTCCCTGGACAGAAATAGCACCAGTATCAGACCCCCAATCCCCTACCCCAACCCGACCTGCTGGCATGGGTCTGTCTGTACATAGAGCCTTGACATAACCTCACTTTCTGAAGTTTGGCATTTGATCCAAAAGAATTCCAGAAGTCCTCTAATAAAACCTGCTACAAACTCTGAAGATGTTATTATAATATGTGTGTTGAAGATTATCGAGGAATAAACAGCAAAGCCTAGCATTCTAAAGTACATAGCCCGTAGTCTGACTAGCCATTGGTTTGCTCATTCATTCATTTATTCATTGTTCAGATATTTACTGAACCCCTAATATAGGCCACTGTCTTTCTTGTTGCTGCAAATACAGAAGTGGACAAAATAGACAAGAATTCCTGCCTTCATGGAACTTACCTTCCTGTGGAAGGAGACGAATTATGAACAAACAAATGAGCTGATGAATGGTTTGTCAGGTGGTGGTAAGTGTTGTGCAATAACAAGACAGAGAAGGGGCAGGGCATGCCAGGAGTTGGGAATCACAGTTTTAGAGAGTGATCGGGGTGGGTCCTCCTGGAAAGTGACCTTTAGGATGAGACATGAGGTGAAAGAACAAGCCACGTGTTACTGGGGAGAAGAGTGTTCAAGGCAGGCTGTCTAGGAGGGCCCTGAGATAGGGCTGTTCCTGGCTTGTTGGCAGAGCATCACAGAGGTTGGCGTAGGTATTCGGGAGTGAGAGAGACGGAGGGAAGTTAACGTAGATATTGGGGAGAAGTGGGGCTTATAGAGCCCAGGAGGCCACTGTCTGGACCCTGCATTTTACCGTGTAGGCCATTGCAGAGTTTTGAGCGGAAGAGTGAAGTTGTAACAGGATGACTCTGGCTACTGCGTGGAGACCGTGAGAGGTGAGGGTGGAGCAGGAATTCAGGGGAGAGATGATGTGGTGTGGAGCAGTTGTTGACGTGGTAGACGTGGCAAGAAGTGGTTGGATTCTGGATATATTTTTATTTGTTAAACCTTACTTGGGGATATTTTTCCATTGTCTTTTTCTATTTTTTAGAGAGAGTGGGAGGGGGAGGGAGAGAAAGTAAAACATAGATGTGAAAGAGACCCATGGCCTAGGTGTTTCTCACTCGTGCCCCGACCAGGGCTGGGGATCAAACCTGCAACCCAGGAATTGAACCTGAAATCTTTTGTTCCTTGGGCCAATAACCTTGGATGCTGAGTAAGAAAGAAAGGAGTCAAGACAATCCCAAGGCTTTGGTCTGAGCCACGGGAAGGATGGAGTGGCCATTTACTGAGTGATTTAGCTAGAAAGGAAAACTGCTGTGGAACGATGACTTAGGGGGATGCATTTCTTACCGTTGACATGGATCTTTGGGCGGAAGTCACACATTGCTTCTGCTTGATGGCATTGTCACATGATGAGAGGGACTTAGAGGATGGGCTGGAGGGTTCCTATGTACTGTTCACAGCCACCTGGAAATCGGTGTTTGAGAGCGTACCTTGTGGTCTTCAGATTCAATATCACCCAAAAATGTGCTTTCTGGAAACACCATTTGCTTTGCTTTTCAGTTCTTTCTTCTCCTAGAGTCCAACCCGGATGGAGCTTTGCTGACTAGAGTATTGAATAAACTCTACCCGGGCATATGTTATATCATTTAGCACCTGAAATCCTCGGAAGAGAACTCACAAAACCACAGCAGCTTGAAGTATTGTGGATTCAGTAGGTAAACTAAGCAGCTCTTCTGGGTCGAGTTTAAGCTCTAACGGAGGGCGGAGGGAAGTTTAAAAGGAATTAAGTCACTGACTAAAATGCTCAACAGTGACAATCCCCTTTCCCCCTAAGGTTATTATAGGAATTTTATTACAGTTCCTGTCTCAAAGTCATACATCTGTCATGTAACGGGCCACCCAAGAAACGAGCAGAAAGCTGCATCGAAGAGTGTGAGGGAGATAAGATATATGACTTGGACTCTAACCCGAAGATGGATTCTCATTCCATGTGACTCAGTGAGGGACCTGGGAATGCTTATACTGAGGACTCCTTATTCTGCACCGAGAAAACACTCTGTTAAAAGCACAAATGTGAGAAAGGGCCCGGGCAGGTAATGTGACAGATAAGCTTCCTCAGCCCTGAGAAATTTAATCTCAACTGGATCAGCATATCTAAGACAATTTTTATTTTGAGCTAGCCACCAAATAAATGAATGGCCTTATAAAAGGCTTCTCACCCTGGCAGGATGACTCGGTGAAGGCATTGTCCCTATATGCCAAGGTTGTGGGTACAACCCCCAGTCAGGGCACATACAAGAATCAACCAATGAATGCATAAATAAGTGGAACAACATATGGATGTTTCTCTCTCTGTCTCTCTTCCTCCCTTCCTCTCAACTCAATTTTAAAAACTGTTTTTTTTTTTTAAAAACTTCTTGCGACCAAACATTTCCTTGACAAAATACCTCCACAAAGCCTCCTCAAAGTGCTGTGCACACGGCACAAAATTAATACATGCTCCCTGGATTAGAAATGGAGAATCTTATTGCCATTAAATATTGGGGGATTAAATATTTCAGCCAGATTTTTCTTTTGTTAATGAAACTGATACTTGGCCCAAGACATTAAAGGAAAAAATCTGATTCTGCTTAGTGAATAGTACTTGTTAAGCACTTTCATTTATAAAAATATCATTTTCTTCCCATGGTTCTTTCAACATGGAAAGTACACATTTCCCACGGAGCATGTGCGGTGGGCGCAGGCTCCAGTAACCGCCCCCCTGACGGTGGCCGTGGAGCCGTGGGGCACACGCTCTGCCCGGACAAGCCACTGAAAGCCGCCTCTCCTCAAAGAGAAGGCAGTGCTTCACACAGGCGTTTGGGTTCTGAAAGCAATCCTTGTGTTATTTCCTTTTGAAAAAGCCATTGTTTCAGATGTAACGGGGCTCCAGCGAGAGAGCCCCCACGTGGCCCGAGGGCCCTTCAGGAGAGCCTGTAGGAGCGCCCATGTCGACAGATTGCATCCACGAGAAGGAGCGAAGTGCCCCAGCTTCCAGGGGGATTAGCTCCTGCAGAGTGTAAAGACCATGGTGTGTTCATATTCATTTCAGAGGAAATTAAAAAAAAAAAAAAGCCTGGGAATAAATGTCAAACACGTCTTCCTGCTGCTTTTCCTGCCGTGGCCCACGAAGCTGAGGTAGCAGAATGTGAGACTGGAGGGCAGTGCGGGAGTTGCCGGCACCGGAGTGAACTCTGCCTCAGGGAGGCCGGCCTTTCTCTTTTGATTTTAAAGAGCAGAGAGTAAAAAGGGGCACCCCTATGTAGTGCACCGAGTAAAATGGGGCACCCCTGCATAGTGCACCCCACACTCACTGTCCCTCTGATAATGAAAAACCTTGGCCCCGGGATAAAGAAGGCCCTACTTAAGCTTTATGTCCATGAACATGGAGGAGATTGCAGTGTAGTTCCATCCAACAAGAACATCTGTGTGCAAGGGCCTATGGGAAGTAGGGTGATGGAGTGCACACACGCAGACCCTCTCCTTAAGGCCTCAGTCTGGGACAGTGGTCAGCAAACTCATGAGTCAACAGAGCCAACTATCAACAAGACAGTGATTGAAATTTCTTTTGAGAGCCGAAAACCAACTTCTGTGCTTGGGCCACGAAGT